TTCTTTGTTCGCTGTATCCTATGAAAACGGGATGTGGCTATGGTGGTGGGAGACATGTTCGACGATATTTCGATGACCTGTTTTTTAGATATCGCCTTAGACAGTACTGCTCAGACCATCGCACCGATCGTATAATAGCATTTACTATAATCATGTACATACAAGAAACAAGTACTGCTGTGCACTGTGTACGGTCTAAACCGGTCGTTTTCGAAACAAGTGATTACCGGCTTCTCTTTAAATCGTTCGGGTAGCTTATCACCTGTGATACGCATCGTTAATCAAGATTATTCCGGCATGGAGTTTGAACCTACCGAATGGGCTGTCATCACCGACCACTTCCCCGTCATCGACAAATTCTTCACCGCCGAGGATAAAATCAAGGAGGTACCCGAGGCTTTTAACACTCCTATTCTCATGGCCACTCATGAGCTAGTCTTCACGTACTCATACGGTGAGCGGGCAATTATTATCAAACCGGCAATGCGGACAACGATGGCTCGGATGTTAAAAGAGCTGGGGCGTACACACCCACAGTTGTAATGAAGAGGGTGTTCTACCTCCATCTCCAGAGGGCCTTGCGCTGCGTAACCTTTCAAATAACCAGGCTACGCGAGATTACCGACAGTGCTAACAACTGTAAAGACACGCTGATTGCGGAACTCGACCGTCGCGGAGATGACGCCTCCTCCAGGGACAGCATATTGGGCAATCTTCGGTTGGTCCTGGAGAAGAAAGGCCGGTGGTCACCGTCGCTTAATCAATTATTGTTGGAGCTGCTGTCCCTGTATAACCACGAGTACCTTTCCTTCGTGCGGAGCGCCATGGTGAACCAGAACAGCCGTGCATAAGGCTTATTTTCTTAATAAAACTGTACGCTTGATGTTTCTTGCAAAATGTATATAATATATTTTTGTTTTAAAAAAAACTGTTTTTTTTTTTGTTTCCTGCACCTCCATCTCCCTATATCTTCTCAATAATTTATAAAGCGTGAACTCGACCGTCGCGGAGACGACACCTCCTCCAGGGACAACATATTGGGCGATCTTCGGTTGGTTCTGGAGAAGAAAGGCCTGTGGTCACCGGCGCTTAATCAATTATTGTTGGAGCTGCTGTCCCTGTATAACCACGAGTACCTTTCCTTCGTGCGGAGCGCCATGGTGAACCAGAACAGCCGTGCATAAGGCTTATTTTCTTAATAAAACTGTACGCTTGATGTTTCTTGCAAAATGTATATAATATATTTTTGTTTTAAAAAAAACTGTTTTTTTTTTTGTTTCCTGCACCTCCATCTCCCTATATCTTCTCAATAATTTATAAAGCGTTAAGCGTATTCCTCTGTACGTTGTTATTCGACGCCGCCGTACACCTGCAGGGATTTTCACTTCGCCGAGATAAAGACATTCTTCAGAGGCGATCTGAACCCTGATTACATCATTGTTCGGAGAATGTCTTGAACATAACATTCTTAAAGTCACGCGACTTGGGAAACGGGCAGAATCGGGGACCAGGCCTTACCAATTAATCGGGATACGTTTTTACGACTTAAAGCAGATTCGCGTTAACAATACGGTAATAATCGAAAATGTATCACACGCTACAGCTTTATAATATACATAATGTGTCTTACAAAACACGGTGTTCTATTTTACCACGGGTACACTTACCTCCTTAGGATAATTAAAAAGTTACCGCCCGGTGGTCAATGCATAATTACTGACCATGATAGGCCCCTGGGGGCATGGAACGCCGCTGCTACTGAGTTTCGGGCCTTAAGACCAGGTCCGCATGGTGGGGGAGCAACACCATAGATTGGCGGTGGGGAGAATGCAACGCCGCTGCTACTGAGTTTCGGGCCTTAGGACGAGGCCCGCGTGGTGGGGGAGCAACAACATAGGTTGGCGGTGGGGAGAGCCGATCACATTGGCGAGGGGGTGACGCCATAGTGCAGGGGGGGGGGGCAGAGCGCTGCGCGCTCCATGACTCACAGGGGACAGTGGTGGGGGTTTGTTGTGACGGCCAGAAGTGGTTTATAACTACTCACCGTTTTCTTCTCGCATTTTTTTACTAAAATTGCGTTACGGTTTACAGCTCGTTTTAATCGTACATTCAGTAGTCTTAGCCGTTTGCAGTACTGCGCAAGTTAAAGCACTAAAGCGGCATTCGAGCGATTTAAATTTCAATTATTCCAGTTTTGTTTCCCTGTCATTTGTGTATTTCCTATGGACGACTTCCCGGAATTCGGCTCGATAGCAGTATAAGTCATCGATTCATCATCTGACTTTACAAATGACAGTGGTGCACGGCTTTCATATGTGCGTGTCGTCGATGTCATCTGCGTATTAAAAGACTAGTCCATTTCTTCTACGTCTATTGATTCCTTCAGCTGATTAGAAGTTGTTATCGCAACACTGGTCAAATCTTCGGAATCTTTAGGCGGCTCACATTGCTCTAGCTGTACGCTAGAAGATGAAAACGTCGGATTTGTACTTACCATGTCACTCGGACCTGCTACATCACCGTGCTGAACTTCCTCGGATGCAAAAAATGGCACGGGAACAGCGTCACATCTTAGTTTGCCATTTGCATAGTAGTCGCTCGGTCGAAAATCTGAGGCACACAAGTCTGCATTACGCGGAGAGGCGGCGGACCAATTCTTCAATTGGGGATTGGCTGTAATCGATTTAACAAATAAACATTACTATCTGATACAGCTACACATACGTTGAAATGACAAAGAAAGACTCAAGTACGAAGTTTGAGCCTCTCTCGATCGTTTCAAATTTTTTTACTTCCTCAAAGAGGAATATATATTTTCATGAAAAAAATTTAAAAAACACGATAAAAGATTGTCTAACAAATTTGAAAGGGAGCATAACTTCGAAAACAATTCCCAACCTTCCGAGGAAGATGGGAAACAATCAGAGGAACGAGTGATTCCATAAGAATCATCGTCAAAACAACGAAAAGGTATGAACATTAATGGTGTCCCAGAGAGTAGATAGGGGAAGAGTAGCGAAACGAGAGCGTCTTACTCAAAAGAATGAGCTCTCTCGCTTGCACCAATACCTTGCCCACCGTTAAAGACTTTGTGCCGATACAAGCTATGAGTTGAAAGAAGACGCTCTTATACACAGGGTGCGAGCGCGAGAGCGAGAAGCTCTTATTCGCGCTACAGGCACTTGCTGCGTTACCACTAACAACAAGTGAGAGCGCCAACGAGAGAGTGACAGGGAACCGTCGCTAGGACTGAGAGAGACGCTCTTATACGGGACTCCTCCGACTCGTGACAGAAATTGTGTCCCGGACCAGGCGAAAAGGCTACCTCCTCCACGCTCCGGCCTGGCTCGCTTTTAGGCTGCTAGCCGCTCCCCACTCTCTCTTCGTTACTTCTTCCCTGAACTTCTCTCTATCTTATGTATGCATATACACAACCGATCAAAAGTTTAGGTTCACCTCGCTTTCTTTGTAACGCTCCCATGACTGCAGTTTGATAAACATTACATTTAGAAGCAATTTTTCGCGTTGAGTAACCTTCTTCGTGTAATGCCACAATGACTGCTCGTGTCTCTACACTCAGCTCTGCTTTTCGACCCATTTCTCTATGATTGACACATAAAATATGTAGTTTTCTTCACATTTCAATAATCAGATGATATTTGTCGAATTATGTCAATTTAAATATAAATTTTTCTTTAACAGTAACGAGTTTCAATATGAAAAATATTCCACTTACCTTTTTGTAAAGAAAAATATGATAAACAATTGGAAATATAGCTTTTGGAAAGAGCTCTCGCAGCACTAAGACGTTACGCGTAATATGCACTAGACGCATCGAGAGAATGCAACCTGTCATAACAAGTTTGTGCTCGATCTACGCGTAACCCAAACACGCCAAACTCCCTCCTACACTCTGACCAGTAGGGTGTATCGACTTGTTATAGGTAAAACGAACGTGTTTGACAAAATTCACTGAGTAGCTGACTTAATTGTGTAAAATTCAAAAATAAAGCAAGTGAACTTAAACTTTTGACCGGTGTATATGTATAAACATTCAAAAGTTTAATAATTACATTTTTTTAAAGTTGGTAACGTGCAAACTCAGAGCGCGGTTCGGTCCGTCCGAGTTTGATCCCCGGAGAATAATTTTATAAATCTTATATTATAGATCCTATTTTATAGATTTTTTTGTATAAATCATTTTGAATTAATTTATATGATTTTTATTTATTTTTTTTGAAGTTAGAAATTGATTCGTTACTAATTTATTCGCATTTTCCCTTTCAGGTTTTTACATATTTCATTTCCGACATTTTGAACTTTTTTTTATTAAGGCTGGTAATTATATTATATCGCAATTCAGTACTAATAAACTAAAAAATAAAAAGTTGAACTGCATAAGAATTTACCTGTATATTGTACTCAAACATCATGTCGACGATCGTCGGCCTGCAGAAAACGAAAAAGATGCGATCCCGTTGATATTCGCCCATTCGTACAACCTTTATATGCACAATGATCGTAAATGCGCTCAATTTTATCCATTACTGTTGAATTTTTCACTAATTCACTTCTTAATTATTAAGAAATTAATTAAACCCGTCCAATGTCTCTGACAATCTCTGAAATCTGAATCTGACGAATCGACGTTGCTAACTATCGCGCGACTAGCAATACACATTGGGGCCTGCAGCGTCAGTTCGTCCGTAATCGCACAGGCAGCAGCATCATAGTAAGTAGCTCTTAAATAATTATAAGAAAACAAGACGCAACACGTCTCTTGTTTATTTTATTACTATGAAGGATATTGCGAGAGAGAATATTGTGAGATAATAGAAAATGATTTTCTCTTTCAGTCTAGTTCATCATTGGATGAAGAAATTAAATTACTGTGGGCAGTTGTTTTCACAGACGAGTCGTATGTATTTATATCGTTTAATGAAAATCATTTAACAAAAGTAGCCAATAATATTAATATATTTCATGGTTATAGCACTGCTATGGAGGGCGTAAAGACAGGGCCAGCGCCACCTCCGCCGTCGCCGCCGCCGTCGGCACCACCACCATTACCACCACCACCACTACCACCACCATCAGAACCACTAACGCTGCCGACGCCACCACCACCAACTCCTGTACCGCCACCACCGCCAACAACTGGTATGTATCGATAAGTTCATAATTATTTATATTCTAGTTGTATATTTTTTTCTTAATTTTTTACAGATAAGACGAAAAAAAATTAGCGCTAGAAGAAGAGGAGGGGGGCCAGCAACAGCAACAACATCTGCAGAGGTGCGGGCGGGCGCCTTAGAGGAAGAGTACTCGCAACCGTTCCCCTCAACCGTCGTGTAGCTGTTCTCCTTGCCGGTGGCAGTGAGAGGAAGTGCATGAGCGGGCATTCAAAATTGCAGTGGATGCCGTGCTGGAGAAAATGTCCAGCAAAAAATAATAAATTGGAAATCACGAAATACATGAATGAGTTTTTATTTTTCTCCTGACAATATTAATAAATAAAAATTGTAAGAAAAAAACGCCAAAACGGCGTTTCGGCGTTTTGTGTGCCTGTTCGCAATTCAGACAGTTCGGGTACGATCCCGACGACAACCTTTTTTAAAAATATCTTGTGTTAACTTAAAATACAGTTTGGACAACATAGAAAGGTTAAAAGAGAGGAACCTTCAACAATTTTTGTAGAAAAATGAAAAAAAAAGGATGAAAAAAGAGTTCTTCATAGGGGATCGAACCCGTAACCGGCAGCGTTATATCTCGACAGGTTATTGACTCAGCCGCGATGCTTGTTTAATACCAAATTACATTTGTTATAGATATTTATTTATGATATCTCAAAATTTCTCTCTGAACTTTTGTCGGTCGTTTCATTTACCAATGGGTTTCGCCATTCATTTGTGAATGTTCATTTTCGGCATGGTAGGAGATAAAGAGTGAAAACCAATATTTCTATGCATTTTTTATAACTGTGAAATTTATTTGAATATACACACTTTGTTTGTGCATTACGTCCATACAAATGTTTAGAGTTCGATTGGACGGAAGACCTTGCTGCCCCGCCTGTTTGCCGAGAACGATTTGTGAGGGGCGGCAACTTTTTCCCCACCACCGAGCAATCCATTCTTTCACGTTGACTGCAATATCGGCTGGAACGATGATCATGATCCGCGCGGCTACGCGAAATCTGTAACAGCGACGGAGGCGATGATCACGAAATCCTACTTCCGGACTCGGCGCTACGATTTAACGCCATGCATTTTACCCTAGTCATTCGTAGGACTCAGCGAATCGGAGGATAAGGAACTTGAAATTATACTTCGAGCCTCGTCCTTCGAAGATTAATGTAGTAGTGGTAGTCGTTCCTAAAGAATTTCACAACGCTTGAGAGCTAGTGGAAAAAAGAAGTTGGTACCTCTTGCTTTCTCCTTCCCGCCGCTTGCGCGCTGGCTTCTTCATTGTTTTTCGTTGTGCGAGAGAGTTCGCATCGTGAGAGAGCTTTTGAAAACTTTGAATAGTGATTAATAGAGACAGTGAAGAGAAAAACGTCAAAAGTTGTGAAAGGGAAAACTTCCCCAGAGGGCGAAGACATAGGACGATTATTGCTCGAGAAATTGCGGAAAATAGAAGACGAAGTGAGGGAATTCCAGAAACAAAGGGAGACAGCCAAGATGGCGGTCGAGGAGATAATGGAAGAAACTACGCCGCAACATGGAAGTGTGAAAAATGTGTTAATCGCAGGTAGGATACGACACAGTCGTTTAAACTATTAGACAGGAAATACTTACCCACAAGGGAAGACCTCCTGTACTAACATGTACCCTCTTACTGGGGAAAATGCATCCGATTCATCTGATAAAGAGAATCAAGAGAGCGTGGCCAGCGGGACAACAAGTCCCAACGCCTCAGAGCAAAAGGGGAGAGACACAAAGACTGGGGGCAAAGAATCTAGCTTTTCTGTACACAGTACAGAAGGGACTAAGGCCAATTTTGACAAAGTGGTAATTGCTATACTAGGACTTGACCCGACAGGGGAAGGCAGTCCTGTAAAACTTCACCCAGAATTACCAACACGCTGGAAACACTGGATAGTAAGGGGCATACCAAGTGGACAAAGAGAAAAACTGATGAAAAAACATAGTAGGAAAGGAGATTGTCCGTTAGAGGTATCCAAGGTGAACCCGGAGATTGAAGCAACTATGGCTGATGCAACCTAGGAGGGAGACCGTCATCCTCAGGGGGCACAAAACCTACTAGGGTCTGCCATGGCAGTACGGGGCACAGCCATTTTAATGATACCTTGCGAAGAAGAGGAAGGAATTGACGGATCAATCTTGCTAGAGAACCTCTGCGATTCAGGGAAAATACTGACAGAGCTGCATCATTCGCAGTCGGAGGGCAGAAGAGCCTTCATATCTTCAGCCTTGATCAAGCAGGTAAGACCAATTGTAGATAACACAGAAACAGATGAGCGGTTATACGGCACAAAGTTGTCAGAAAAGATTAAGGACGCAAAAGCTATAGAGAAAACCACTCAAAACATTAAAACACAACCATCAGTAGTGAACAAGCAGGTTCAGAGACAAAATTCCTTAAAGTGGTGGAGCCCACCTACGAAGATAAAGCAAGTGGGCGAATGCTCAATATACAACACAAGAAGGTCATCAAACTGGTGTTACAAGGGGCCAGACCCATGGGAGGAGACTCCAGAATCGGAGCCAGGTCAGGTGGAAAACAAAGAGTCGTTAACGCAGGAGGTAAGCACAAAAGCTGGGAAATTAAAAGAAAAAGTGAGAGAATGGGAGAAAGAAACAAGTGACAAAGTCATTATAGAATGTATAAAGGGATACAAAATAAAGTTCTACAGCCCTCCGAGCCAAGGAAAGGCACCAGTCCAACCTAATTACTCGGGGGAAGAACTGCAGAAAATCCAGGAGGCTATAGAATCGCTATTAGGAAAGGGAGCAATTGCTCAGTGTAAGGCCTGCGAAGGACAATTCCTGTCGCAATATTTTTTGAGCAAGAAGACAGATGGCTCAAAAACATTTATCATAAATCTAAAAATGCTGAACGAATTCATTTCGACAGCACACTTTAAAATGGAAGATAAGGAAACAGCAATAAATCTCATATCTCCTGAAGGTTGTTTTGGCAACACTAGACACACCGGACGCATACTTTGCGGTAAGCATGCACAGCTCATGCAGAAAATTTCCTTAGATTTTAATTTTCGAATCGGTTATATAAATTCACCTGCCTCACATTTGGTCTCTGCACAGCCCCAATGATCTTTACAAAAATAATGAAACCCGTAGTCAACAACCTGGGGGTCAGAGGCCAATATCAACAATAGACATAGACGAACTGCTGCTGATAGAAAAAGAGTACATGTCATGCTTATACAACATTCGGGAAACCATTGCACTACTATCGAGGTTGGGGTTCACCATCAATTACCGGACAAGTTGCCTAGCGTCAAGCACAAGATGCACATACCTAGGATTTCTACTGGACACAGAGAAATACACAGTAGGGTTGACAGACAGGAGAAAGGATCGAGTGAAACAACTACTTGACAAGTTCACAATGGGAAATACATATAAAATAAGTGAAGTAGCCCAACCTGTAGGGACCCTGGTGTCGTCTTGGCCGGGAGTCACATACAGTAGCGTGTACTGCAAACGACCAGAGAAAGGAAAATTCCCCAAAAAACACTTACGTGTAAAAAACTACGCCAAGTACAGGATT